GGGATCCCCAGCTTGAGCTCTCTGCAGGGAGAGCGGGGGTGAGGGGGCCCCAGGGCACATGGGTGGGGGGGATCAAGGGACAGGGCAGGGATACAGCAGAGGGCCACATCTCCAAGGGAGGCTGGCATCCTCCTGTATTCCCCATCCACTGCCTGCATAATAAGTCAGGGGGGTCTCAGCTGGACCCACATTCACACTTGGGGGGTCCTCAACAGGGCTGGATGGGGATGGGGAGTTCACAGCTGGCTTAACTGATAACCCCTTGGGATGTAACCAGGTGTTTGTACCCTCAAACCAACCCCCAGGGTAAGGGGTGCCAGCAGGGCCAGGAAGCAAGTCCCCCGCAAGCCCAGGGCACTGCTCTCTGCGTCCCCCACCAGTGCCTGGTGAACCCCAATGCGAGCCCAAGGTCCTCGTCCCAGCCCAGGGGCTCACCTCTGCCTCATCAGCGGGATGTTGATGCAGTTGGCAGCAGCCACGGCCGCGAAAGGCACGTACCGGCTGATGATGGCTGGCAAGTGCTGGGGGGCAAGCAGGGAGCACGTCACACAGAGGGTCTGGGTGCAGAGCTGTCCCCAGATCTGCCACTGCCCCCCTCTAAGACCCTGGTGAGTCCCAGCCCCACCGAGGCAAACCGTTCCCTCCTCCCCTGCAACTCCCAGCCAGGGAAAGCTGCACAGCCCAGGGGGTCTGGGGGGTCCCATGTCCCCCCTCAGCCCTGGAGGGAGGCCGAGGGGTGAAAGAAGCCTGGAGAGATCCAGCTGGGGATGGAGCAGGGATGGAGGGACAGGCCATCTCCGGAGCCATCCCTGGGGAGAGGGGCTGCCCCCAGGAAACCCCTTTCCTCCATCTTCTCCCCTGCCCCAGGTGATGGGGTGAATCCCCGGCTCAGCTCAGAGCTCAGGGAGACCCCACGGGGAGGGTCCAGGTGCCCCGGCCAGTGATGGGTCACCTTACCTTGGTGAGAGACTTGAGCCCCAGTGCTGTGACAACTGCCCCCGTGGTCGCGCTCACATAGGCTGTCCCCAGCTGGCTGCAAGAGCAGGAGGTGACACTGATAAGCCAGGGTCCCCCCATCCCACCCCCCCCAAAGGAGGGGACAGCATGCCCTTCGACAGCATCAGGACACCTGGGCTCCTCTCCCAGCTCTACCACTAACCCTGACAGCCCCACTGGTGTCCATCTCTGGCTCTGCCAGCTCCCCAGTGTCCCATCTCACAGCCCCCCACTATTGAAGAAGTTTTGGGGTGCCTCGAGGACCTGGTCAGAGAGACTCTTACCTTGGGGTGATGGGTGCATCCCCGCTACGGTTGGTGTAGTTGACGACGGCGTTGAAGGACTGGTTGACCCACTGCCAGAACAGCACGGCCGGCGTGGTCCTACCAGAGAGAGGAGGGTGCTGGTGGCACTGGGGGATGCCACCCATGGGTGCACTGCTGGGGATGGGACATGTGTCCCCTCCTCAGCCCAGGGCTGAGGAGGGGACAGGTACCTGTAGAAGGTCAACATGCAACCGGTGATGGTCATGTTCATGGGGACCTGGGCGGACATGCGTCCCACGAGGAGCATCTTCTCACCCGTGTCGGGGTGGAAAGCCGAGTCGTAGATGTACTTCGCCCGCCAAAGCTGGTCCTCCGTCAGCCCTGGGGGTACCGTGCCCGCCCTGCCAGGTAAGGGTAGCACCCGTTGGGAGACCCTCTGCCAGCACCCGTGCCCTACTTGGTCCCCCACCCCATGTGGGGCCGCTGGGAGACGCCTTAGGGACCAGCCAGGCAGTCTGGGGGGCTGGCTTTGGCCGGGGGGGCCAGCACTGCTCCCGTTCCCACCCGGTACCTGTACTCCTCCACCACCCGTCGGGCCTCCTCCAGCGTGGCCCCCGAGAGCAGCAGGTTCCGGGGGTCGGTCACCATGAAGAAGTGCTTGGCCCGGCCCTGGAAGGTGCTCTGGTCCCAGCGGGGCTCCCGGATGTTGATGGTGGCAGGGAGGGACGGTGGCATCTTCTGGGGGGGGGACATGGCTAAAAGTGGGATGCGGTGCCCATGTCCCCCCCCACCCCCCCTTCCCTGCTGGGGCAGCTCTGGAGCTCTGAGCACCCCCCCGGGTGGGGGACAGGGAGCCCCTTTGCGAGGGAGCTGCGTGGGGACACCCCGGCC